AAAAAAAAAAAAAAAAAAAAAAAAAAAAAAAAAAAAAAAAAAAAAAAAAAAAACATTGAAAGGAGACTCCCACATGGGATTAGAGAAGGAGATGGTGAGTGTATACCCCACATGTTGTTTTGAGTTTGAGATTGAAAAAATGTTCCATCCATCTCTAGCTTTTATTGTATTTATAACATTTTGTACCTATTTTACCCTATATTTCCTTTTTTTCGCTTCAATATTTATGTGTTACCATCACCTAAGAGATTTAACCTTTCTATTTTTTTTTATATATTTATTGCAATATGTTTTTTTTTTCAATAAATATTTTTATTTTTCCTTTTTGGATAAAGACAATTAAAAGTCGAAATTTTTTTAATCTTTTAAGGATGTTTTATTTAGCGGATGTGGTTTAGGTATAACTATAAGATTGTTAAACGAAGCTTTCCTTCGAATTTGATTCACACGTTTTATAGGCAACAAGAATCATACTTTTTAATATTCAGTTTTTTCGGTATACATTTTTATAATTTTGTGTTTGAAATAAAAGATTTATATATACTCGGGTTAATAACACGTGAAAAACTTGCAACTTCACATTACCTATTTAATCTCGTTCTTTCGTTTTTTTTTTTACCTTTGTTATTTTGTTGTGTAATTTTGCTCGGTTTCAAGTTGTGAGGTCCTTTTTATGAGAGATTTTATTACCTTCAAAAAAAAAAAAAAATGGACCCACGACCTACATGGCATTTGTCCATATATAAGTCAGCACGTGACTTTCTTTAATTCTATTACCGTATTTTTAAAGTTAATCCTTACTATAAATTCAAAAAATGAGAATAATATTTTATATAGAAAAAGCTTTTTACTAAAGTCAACTATAAATTAGGGACGAGTTTTAAAATTTATTGAAAATATAAAATATGAATTAAATTAAAAAAAATAAGTATAAAAAATAAAATGATATTTAAGTTAAAAAATCATGATTTTTGTAAATTTAGATTTTTTTTTTTTTTTTTAATTTCAAAGAAAGTATAAAATCGGGAGTTCTTTTCTATAATTTATTGTAAAATTGATCAAAGCGGGTCGAGTTTTTCCACATCGGTCACCAATGGCCTTGATCGTGACCGTCGACGTTGTTGTGACCTTAAAGTTCATCAAAATACTGCAAGTTGAAGATCAACGATCAGGTGAAGGAGACGAAGTCAACGAGAAGTCGCATCGACTCTCCATTAATTCCGGCGATTTCAGCAGCTCTCAGTCGGCTCCGCCATTAAAATCAGAGAATGAACAAACCCTTAACTCGGGCCGTTATCTTTGGCATCTGGTTGGCTTTTAATGGAGTCGATGCAGCCTCAAATCAGCCCTACAGAACAGGTTTTCACTTCCAGCCTCCTAAAAATTGGATGAACGGTAAAAATCTCGCAAAACTTTGTCGTTCATTTGGCGATTTGTCTTTTTTCTCTATTTGGAATTGACAATCTACCCTATTGAGTATTGATTAAATTGCTTGATGTCTTTTGCTGGGCTGTTTTTTGGCTGATTACGACCACAAAGATCCCAATGGTACAGTTTCCCTCAAATTTTGTTAATAATTTCCCTCTTTTAGCTGTAGTAGTGATGTAATGAGTTCATAATTGCAGGACCAATGTATTACAAGGGAGTTTATCATCTGTTCTATCAGTATAATCCTTATAGTGCAATTTGGGGAAACATTACATGGGCCCATTCAATTTCATATGATCTTGTAGATTGGATCCATTTAGAACATGCTATTTCTCCAACTGAACCCTATGAAGCCAATGGTTGTTGGTCTGGTTCTGCAACAATTCTTCTTGATGGAAAACCTTCCATCTTATACACTGGAGCCAACTCTAAGAATCAGCAATTTCAAAATCTAGCTGTGCCCAAGAATCCATCAGATCCTTTACTGAAGGAATGGATTAAATCACCTCATAATCCTCTGATTTCCCCTGTTGATGACATTGATCCTTTGAACTTTAGGGACCCTACCACTGCTTGGCTTGGCCCAGACAGGTTATGGAGGATCATTGTTGGAGGGGAGATTGGTGGTCAAGGATTGGCGGTTTTGTATCGTAGTGAAGATTTTGTCAATTGGACTCGGGGTAAGACTCCGCTTCATACGTCGAACAAAACTGGGATGTGGGAGTGCCCGGATTTTTATCCAGTGAGTATCAATGGCAGTAATGGACTTGACACCTCTGTTCTAGATGGGTTAATCAAACATGTGCTCAAGGCGAGCTTTAATAATAATGATCACTATGTACTGGGGAGATACACTCCTGAAACAGATACATTTTCGGTTGAGACTAACTTCTTGAGCAATGGCTCGGATATGCGATACGATTATGGGAAATTCTATGCTTCGAAATCGTTTTATGATAGTGATAAAAAGAGAAGAATACTGTGGGGATGGATATTGGAATCAGACAGTGAAGTTGATGATATTAGCAAAGGATGGTCTGGCCTTCAGGTATTTGAATCAACTGAGCTTCATAGTTCTAAACTTCTGATATGAGTGCCCTGTTTATATTAACAGCTTATTCTATATTGCTTTTCAATTACATTTCATAGTCAATTCCTAGAAGTATATTACTTGATGAATCTGGAAAACAATTATTACTATGGCCAATTAAAGAAATTGAGAAACTACGTACAAAGCAAGTGAGTTTTGATGATATGGACCTCAAAAGTGGCTCAGTATTTGAAGTCCCGGGCATTATGGCCGCACAGGTAACAATTCTGGCACTCATTATTTCAGAGTTACAAACGAACTCTCAAAGAAAAGTCGAAAACATTTTCACGTTTGTTTCCTATATGCAAAGGCCGATATCGAGGTTTCATTCCGCTTATCGGGTCTTAAAAAAGCAGAAGAGATGAATACGAGTTGGGTTGATCCACAATTGCTCTGTAAGGAAAAGAAAGCATCAATGAATGGCACGATTGGACCATTTGGGCTGCTGGTTTTAGCTTCTAAGAATTTGGAAGAACAAACTGCAGTCTACTTCCGAGTATTCCGAAAGCAATACGAGAAATATGTCGTGCTCATGTGCAGTGATCAAAGCAGGTTTGTTGGTTCCCATATTGTTCAAGTTTTTTTTTTTCTATACTGCTTGAGCTGTTATGACTGAAGCAGCAAGCTCACAATTTCAACAGATCTTCCTTGCAGGAAGGGCTTGAGAAAACAACTTATGGAGCATTCGTTGACATAGATCCTGTTCATGAAACGATATCTTTGAGAAGCCTGGTATGTCGCTTAAAAGAAACAAAAACACATATGTTCAGTTGGTTATGCTCTTCACTTTCCTTTGTTTTTCGCATTCCAAGATCTTTGTAGCTGCATACTATTGCAAAAGCTTGTATAAATGATATAATCTATGAATTATATCACCATCTTTTGTTATCCTTTTAATCTATATTTGAAAGACAAACAAAATAGGAATGAACATACCCTTTAGATTAGTACTACTGCATGCATCTTCATGGGTTCGCTTATTCTTGTTCAACGAATTAACTTTGGATCAAAAAACAACTAAGCTTTGCCCGAACCCGTTCTCTAATAAAAATAAAAGTCTTTGAGGTCGGTGGTGTTGGGTTCTGGAGACAGCTGCTGTTCATTCAATAGTTATACGTAGTAAAACTATAAATAACATATAAAATAAATGGTGTAAACATCTATGTATATTAAAAAGTAAAACCATATATAATAGATAGTTATATTCTCTAGATGGTTATATTTGGTAAAACTATATATAGTAAACTGAACTATATATATATACCATAAGCGTTTTGAAAATGTACTTTTTGCATTCTCTGTATTGAAATCACCCATATAAACTTTTAGCCAGCATTTTCTCTCTCTTGTTCTTTGTGCTCATCTAAATAGTGTGTGCGTTGTGTGTGATCCTAATTGGTGGCTCAAATCTCCACCCTCTTTATTGTAATAAAAACCCCGAGTTTAGAACTTCTTAATATAGTTACCCATTCACTTATTACCATTAGTTCACGTATTTAAGCCTGCACGTGAGGGAGTGCTAAGAATGTCACTTCATCGAACTCTCCGATATAAAAACCGCAACATTCGGGTGTTTTGTTTTGCAGATAGACCATTCAATAGTGGAAAGTTTTGGTGGAAATGGGAAAGCCTGCATCACTGCAAGAGTGTATCCAAAGCTGGCCATCAACCAAGACGCCCATCTTTATGCATTCAACAACGGAACAATGGATGTAAGAATCTCAAAGCTAAGTGGTTGGAGCATGAAGAGAGCACAGATCGTTCCCATCCAAAAGAGAAGAAAACCCTCCATCACTTGATATCAAACTCCAAACTCTAGGTACCATTTGAACCTCCACTGCAAACTCTGATTTATTTACTTGTTTACAGAAAGTTAGAATGATTAAAAGACTTGATAGAAGTGCAATAGCGAACCAAGAAATTGGTATATTTGTTATTTGGTGTTTCCAGTAGTCAAAAAAGTAAAGAACACAACAGAACAGATTCCCAAAGGACGTGAAGCAAATGAAAAAGGCAAAGGTAGAAGACAGGATACTTCATAATTTGAGCTCATTATTCCAACACAACATAGAACATCACATGTGACCAAAATTCTGTCTGGAAACAGCTGAATTGATGTATCGGACGAATATTGTAACAGCTCAAGTCCATCGCTACCGATATTGTCCTCTTTAGGCTTTTCCTTTCAAATTTTTTCTCAAGGTTTTTAAAACGCCTCTACTAAGAGAGGTTTCCACTTGTCCTCTTGGGACTTTTCCTTTTGGGCTTCCCTTCAAAGTTTATAAAACGCCTCTGCTAGAAGAGGTTTTCACTTGTCTTCCTTGGGCGTTCCCAAATGCGTTTACTAGAAGAGGTTTCCACTTGTCCTCCTTGGGCTTTCTCAAACACGTCTACTAGGAGAGGTTTCCACTTGTCCTCTTTGGATTTTCTTCTCGGGCTTCCCTTCCAGGTTTTTAAAAGAGAGGCTTCCTATCTTTTTTAGGCTTTCTCTTTTAGGCTTTCCTTCAAGGTTTTTAGAACGCGTATGCTAGGAGAGGTTTCCACACCCTTTATAAAGAATGTTTTGTTCCCTCTCTAACCAAAACAGGCTCCTTATGAGATATTATCCTCACTGGCATACGTTTCCTTCTACAATCGATGTGGAATCTCGTAATCATAGTCGTCTCACGGTGAGGTTGCAGAGGTAAGCGTGATCATGACTTTATTCCAAAAGCCATTCAAGGAACCCATCCACTGGGCCTCACACTTCGGGCTTTTGACCCAAATTAGGTATTACATAGTTGTTTGGTTCTTATTATATGGTTTTTTTTGTTTTGGTGGTGGTGGTGTTGGTGATTTTATTATTATTATTAGAAGTATTAAAGAAAACCCAATAATTGGTCAGGAGGCTTTGAAGGCATATTCCATCCTCTTTATATTGGTGGCGGTATCTTCATTAGATTCTTCTTACGTTAAGCTGGAAAGATTCCATTTACATTCATCACCCACCACTGCATGTTTGCCACGTGGATTTCACGATCTGACATACACCTCCAAATGCACTGTGTTCTTTGGTGGGTGATGCTGTTGTCATCACCCGAGGGTGTCGTTTCCAAGGGGAAAGGAAAGTAAACAAAAACAAAACAAAAAAAAAAAAAA